GGAAACACTGGCAATGGGATGGAAATGGCAGATCATAGTTCAGGGGGAGCAGATGCTCTGATTGCAGGCAGTCCCAAGTTTATATCAAGTTTTAGTAGTTTGGTATCTAGCTTCTTCAGCCCAAAAGACCCCAAACTACAGGCCTCAAAAGGAGCCCTCTCCAAGACTCTAGAGCTGCTGTCAGCCCGTGCAGAAAACCTGCAGGCTGCCTGAACCAGTAGCCCAAGTGCCTACACACCCCAAATCTTGATAAGTTCACCTGCCTTTTAATCAGGCAGGAGTGGCAGATTATTTCAAAAGACCAAGACAAAAGATTTCGAAAGATTTATCTAAGACAAAGACAACCGGAAGCACTGAGTAGGCTTCTTGGCCTGTCAGGAAGGGGGAAGAGGTGGGGGAGTTGGCAGACAAGGGGGGCATTATTTCAGTCTAAAAATCCATTTCCAGTTGTGGGGGCAAGGTGCCAAACTTTGGTAGCCTTTCTCATTATAACCAATGGACCCTTCCATCAAACTGTTTAGCAGTCATTAGAACTGCAGTCCAACACATCCAGAGAGCACTGAGTGGAAAGTGGAACCATAAAGTTTGTACTGGGAATGTAACCCTTCAGTATGGAGGTCAGAATGTTGTACATGTCAAAGCACCCACTTGAACAACAGCCTTTTACAGGTATTATTACATTTTTTAACTATGCCAGAGAGAAAGGTTTGGCTTAGACTTCTCCAAACACTCAGTTTCCTTGTGCAAAGGAATGGTATTGTATTTTTTCACAGGGTGACTTTCACACATACTGAAGGATGCATGCCAGGAAGTATGTTTCCCATGATTTTGATGATTGTGTGAACAGATCCTAAGGCACATTTCGGACTCATGGTATGCCTGCCAGCTGATCTCCAAGCCTGAATGACGAGACTTCATCTGTTCTACCTCCATGAACAAACAACACCGAGACCAGATTGCTCCTAGCTTAACAGGTCTGTATAACAGGCTGTGGACATACATCAGTTACATTTTGAGTCTCACAATTTCTCCTCCATCACTCCCAAAATGAAGAATGATCTGCATGTGATATACTAACACACCACACATGTACAAATATCACCACTGTTGGGCTCGTCCACATGAGGAAACAGAGAGATCACTTTGCCTATTCTTATTTAGCTCTTCTAGAACCCTGTCAACCCAAACGTATCTTGGTATTTCAAAAATGTGTGAGAATTAGGACCATGACTTCATGGTACTCAGTATGTATCCGGTATGTATCCTAGCAACTTCTTTGTTAGTGGGGCCCCTATCCATTGCAATTTTCTTTTTGAGTTTTGTAGGAACTGTCCATGGTGCTCCATTGTGGTGAAGTATTGGAGGGTTCAGCACCATGGATAGTTCCTACAAAACTCAAAAAGAAAATTGCAATAGATGATGCCCCCACTGACACAGTTGTCACCAGCCCCCACCCCTCCCCTCCGCATTGGTGGATTTCTTTCTGATGAATACCATTCCTTCAGCCCCTTCTGTTATTCCTACCATTTCTAGAAAGCATGCAAGGATGATTTTAAGCCACATTTCCTCCTGTTCACCCACCCACTTTGGCCAGCTAAAGTGATGAGGCTTCAGGAATGAGACAGAGCAGAGCAGGAAGAACTATGCCATCCCGGTTAGCCCAAATGCTTTTTGGGGTGGGGGTTGAAATCGACACACTCCTCTTAAATGGAGAGCCATCTGTGTACAATTATTCCTTATTGTTCATGTCCACCGAGTTTCTGGAATGAAATGGTGCTTTATTGCCTGTGGTGCTTTAAGGCAATAGAGTCCTGGGCCAAGGCACTCACAAACATCCATTTGGTACGAGGACAGAATAACAAGGGGACCACTGGGCTCCAAACTGTGCATTTTAGAAGGGAAAACATTGCACAACACCCCAGCAGAAAACAAAGCTAAAACCCACAAGTTCCCACCTAAAAGTAGAGGCTTAAGTAACTGAAAATTGTGTCTCACTTGAAAAGAAATTACTTTGATTTCTATGGAACTTCACTGCAAAGAATGTGGTAGCTATTCCCTTCTGTCTCTGGCCTCTCAAATGGAAATGATGGAGCAAAACTTTTTCCACAAAAACCAAGAATCCAAACTCCAAGTACTGCCATTCTGACCATTAGACCCTATATACCAGCTCAAAATATAAGCAATCCAAAACCAAACAGATACTGCTGAGCAAATGAAAACATAGAAACAAATTCCAGATCAGACCTACAAAGATTCACAATGCCTTATATCAATTTTTAAGGCAACAGTCTCTTTCTTTTCCATATTAGTGACTTGTTTTCCAAAGTGAAGAATATATAACATATAATATGCACACACAATGATATTTAAAAAGCAAAAATAAAGATATTTACTACAAGGATTTGATTGTCAGCAAACACAATATATTTACTGTATTAGCATTTGCTCACAGTGCAAATGGTACAACAATACATCAGTTCAATATTTCTGATTTTTCCCCTTTAAAATGCTGTATGCATTAACTATCATATTTGCATTACAACATGACAAATGAGCAAATGAAATGTGTGTGAAAATTATCACTTTTTCACAATATCAAGCATTTTAACCTTAGTATAAGGTACTATAAATCCAAGAAATAAAAACATCCACAAAATATATTACATCTGTTTTTTCTTTTCCCCCCTAAGTACTCAACTTTATACAAAAGTCTTTCAAAAAATATCATTCCCTTAGATTTTTGTAGTTAAACCTGATTTTTGTTTCTTTCAGTTCACATAAATTAGACTGCATTTTTTTTCTCTCTGAGAATTTTTTGATTTATTTTTTTTAAACATGCAGACATCAAACCTGGATAAAACACAACCTTTTGGCAACAAGTTTTTTTTTTAATTATTATCATTGTTTTGCTTAAATAGCTGAGCAGTTTTCTTAAAACAAAACAAAAGGAAAGAAAAACAAAGCAAAACATGCAATGACATGCACGTACCAGAAGGAGAAGAGAAAAAAGGCGAGTGCTCTCTCTTCCCTCAGTTTCTTTTAAGTGACCCCCCAAAAACAAAACAGAACAGGGGGAAAAATCACATTATAAAAAGTACGCATCAAAACACTGTTTTCTGCATTTCTGGAAATCATTGTCCTTGTGCTAAAAAACAATTCTACCCACAGATGATGCCCAATAGCCCTCTTTCCTAAAGGAACATTTCCAAGATTATCTAGAATGACCTGGAAAAGGCTGTCGCACGCGCCCCGTTCACTTTTTAAGGGTCTTCTGAACACTTAAATAGTTCATTTGGATTTACCACACACGCACACACGCGCACACACGCACGCACACAGAGAGCTCAAAAGGAGGTCTAGGTGGTCAAGGGGGTGCATAAAGTGACCCTCAGAACAGGCACCCTGGAAACCCCTACCTGCCTCTTCCACTCAGACAGGCCTCAGGAGGAAAACGAAGGGGAATCAACAGTACATTCAAAACCCACCCTGATCTCTCCACATCGCCCCCCCCCCACTCCCATTTTCTCGAGGGACACCGTCCAGTCACTCAGTTTTGGGGCTGTCCACAGAGGGCGACTGGAAGGTGGGGTCTGGTGTGACACAAACCAGAGGAGTGTCAAATCGATGCTCCTCTCCAGCCCCTCTTTCTGCCCAGCCCGCGATGCCCGCTTTGGAGGAAATAAAGCTTGGAATGTCTGAACCAGCCTTCCCAGTTGACACCCCCGTCAATTATGCCTTTTATTCCCTGCCCTTGCAATACGAATAATTTTCAAAGCAGTAGAATACCTGGCTAAATGTTGACCTGCTTTCTCTACCCTTTGCCCTGGCCTGGGAAAGGAAGAGAAAGGTGGTTTTAAAGAGACTTCTCCAGTCCCAAAGTGGCCGGAGAAGTGGAGGCAAGAGAGGGGCACCAAGGAAGGAGGAGGAGGAAAGGAGGCGTGCTCTGCGATGGCCGCGGGGGCGTCCCACGCACGAGGGGGGCACCGGCTTTTCAGTCCGGCTGCCGCGGGGGTGGAGAAAGCCGGCATGGGAGGCAAGAGAGAAGCACCAAGAGATGGATTTGAGGAAGGAAAGTTTGGTGATGGGGAGGGGGGGCTTGGGTGGCAGGAAATAAAAAAGGCAGAGACGCAGGGAGAAAAGGAAGAGGCAGGAGTGGGGGGGGGGGGGGACGAATTCTTAAAGCCGGGCGTAACTGGGGATCGCTTCCAAGCCGCGGCAAGGGAGCCTGGAAAGGCGAAGATGCTTTGCGAGAAGCGGCCGAGAGGCGCAAGGGAGAAGCCGGCCCCACGCCGGCAGCAGCATCACGGCCCCGGGCTCGGACACTGCCGGGGAAGCGGAGCTGCCGTCGGAGGCGCAGGCCCCACGCCGCTTCCCCCTCGGCCTCCCCAGTGCGACGGGAGGTCCGGGGGCGCGGAGTGCTTTTCCCCGCTGCGCACAGCCCCTTCGGGAAGGGGGGGGAGGTTCACTGTGGGAGAAAAGCAGCCCACTTCCACTCGAGGCTGGCACACGCACGCACACGAACACGGGCACGCGCGCGCACACGCGGTTTCCACGGGCAGCAAGCACTGCGCTTTGGTGCCCCCCTCCATCGAGGGAGAAGAAAAAGAGGAAGAAGATCCCGGGGCGTCTGGCGGAGGGGGACATCCGAGGAAGCGTCCCCGTGTCCGTCCGCCCGCCCCCCCTCATTCACACGTGCCAGACGGAGCCCCCCACGCCCCCCCTTCCCACCGCAGTTCCTCCGGGGGAAGCGGGCCGGTCCCCGCTTCCCCTCCTCTCCTGCGCCGCTTCGGATCAAGACGATCCGGCGGAAGGGTCAAGGCTCCCTCCCAGCCCCACCAGCTCGCCGGCGGCGGGAGGCGCGCGCGCAAAGGCATCCCTCCTGCGGGAGCCCCGGGAGGCGAGCGGCCGCTCCTGTCGCCGCTGCGCGGGCTTTGCGCAAAGTCGCGGCCAAAGGCAGCCTGGCTCGGGAGGCACTGGGACTCGGCGGGGCGGGAGCAGCGTCACGCGCAAGTGGTGACCACGGGGGCCAGCGAGGCCACGGCGGGCGAGCCGCTGACCCCGGCCGCGGCCGCCGAGGAGGAGGAGGAGGAGGAGGAGGAGGAGCCCTTCTCGGCCTTCTTCTCCTTCTGCTTGAGGTGGATCTTGGCGTGCCTCTTGCGCTCGTCGCTGCGCGCAAACTTGCGCCCGCAGAACTCGCAGGCGAAGGGCTTCTCGCCCGTGTGCGTGCGGATGTGGGTGGTGAGGTGGTCGCTGCGGCTGAAGCTGCGCATGCAGATGCGGCACTGGAAGGGCTTGTGGCCCGTGTGGATGCGCAGGTGCCGCGTCAGCTCGTCGGAGCGCGAGAAGCGCCGGTCGCAGCCCTCGGCCGGGCAGGCGTGCGGCCGCTCGTGCAGCGGCGTCTTGCTGGGCCGGTTGGGGTACTTGCGCGGCCGGATGGGCTTCAGCGTGAGCGGCGGCGGGGGCGGCGGCTGCTGCAGGCTGCCGAAGCCCGGGTGGATCTGCTTGTCCTTGAAGGCCTTGATGGTCTCCAGGGGCGTGATGGGGGGCGGGTTGACCCGGATCGGGTCCAGGTTCTGGAAAGGTTTGTGCTCGGGGAGGCTGCCCAGGTCGTTGGGGTGCCCGTGGTAGAGGCCGTAGTCCGGGATCATGGGGAAGAGGTTACTGTCCAGGCTGCCGGCCGGCTTGGCCCCTTGGTACTCCTGCGCCGAGTAGGAGAGGCCCGCGTTGCCCTGCGGGTCGTGGAAGGGCCCCGGGTCGCCCGGGTAGAGGTCGCTGCAGGCGGAGTAGGGCGGCAGCGCCGGGTACATGCCCTCCACCTCGCCCTGGCTCTGCACCATGCTGCCCGTCGAGGCCGGCGTGCTGGACGAGGGCGGCGGCGGCACCCCCAGGATCCCCGCGCTCATTAGGCTGATGATGTTGTCCTGGCACCAGTTGGACGGCGAGTCAAAGGCGAACTTGCCCAGGTAGGTCACCGTCTTGCTGCCCCCGGGCGCGGGCTGGAACGAGCCCGAGTATGACGACAAGTCCTGGCCGGCCTTGTCGTTGGCTAAGCCAATATCCATAACATTATCTGCGGGGGGAGGGGGAGGGGGGAAGAGAGAGAGAGAGGGTGAGCGACTCGGGGTGCAGCGAGGGGGGTCCGGGGCGTGGGGAAGGGGCCCCCATTTCCACGGGGGGGGGAGAATTCGGTGGGCAGAGCCGGGGGGGGCGCTGCACTTTGGAGGCCTGCAGTCTCCCGCACCCCCAGCCCTGAGCAGCCGATGGCCAGCGGCGCCAGGGGCCGGGCACCCGTCGACGCCTCAAGAGCTTGGCTTTGCCCCCGAGACGGCCACCTCGCCAGTCCAAGGAAGGAGTCTCCTCGGGAGGCCGGGGCCGGCAAGGCGGATCCTATCGTTTGAAGGCAGGGAGGGAGGCAGGGAGGGAGGCAGGGAGGTGTGGGTGAACTTGGGCCTAACTTCCTTAGGGGTGTCGAGAAAGGCGGATATTGGGGGGTAGGATGGGGAATCCACCCCTTTTCGAGGTCTTTTCTCCCCTCCCCCTGAAGAATTGCCCCTCAATGGGCGCAGAGGCCCTGATTCCCCAGTTTCGCCTTTCTCGTGTACTTTGTAGCCATGTACTTACACTAACACACCAGCGCACACATAAATGTGGCCACGGGATATGTACGTGCCTGCAACAATTTACACATACGCATAGAAGGCACATGCATACGGCCATCTGCACACAGGAGCGCGCGCTCAGGCGCGCACGGGGGAAGACAGGGACGTTCAAGTGTAGCATTCGCATCCGTACGAAACATATACCTCTCTCTCTCTCTCTCTCTCTCTCTCTCTCTCTCTCTCTCTCTCTCTCTCTCTCTCTCTCTCTCTCTCTCTCTCTCTCTCTCTCTCTCTCTCTCACACACACACACACACACACACGCGTTAGAGACACATGCACACCCAAACGAGACAGACCCGCGGGCGAGAGAATATCTAAGCGCGCACACAGAAGTCGCGTTTGCTCTGCACAGGCCATAGGAGCGGAGCCCTCGGAGGGCGCACATCCCGCCGACCCCGCCGCCCGAGCCGCAAAACGAAGGCGGCCGAGTTTCCCGCGGGCGAGAGCCGCGGCGGCGGCGGCAGGGCAGGTGGGCGGCGTGTGGAGCAGTGGCAGGTCCAGCGAGAGACCCCCGGGGAAGAGGGAAGGGCAGCAGGGCCGGGGAGGCGGGGAAGGAGCAGGAGGGGACAGGAGGAAGCTGGTACCTGAAGTTACAGGTAGGCAGGCTCTGGCTGCTGAGAGCGAACTGGTCTGTCTGTCTGTCTCTCTCTCTCTGCTTCTCTCCAGGCGGTTTCCCACCCCACCGACACAGCCGGGGACTTCCAGCAGAGCTTTACAAACTTGCCGTGATTTCTGCGTCGAGACCAGTTATGGAAAATATAAGGGGGGGAGTGGATTTATTCCCCCCTTTCCTTTCCTTTCCTTTCCTTTCCTTTCTCTTTTGCTTTTTGCCTTTCAGGAGCGAAGGGGACGCTCGAGCAACACCGCGGAGAGAAAGGAGGACTGGGGGCTTGGGAGGGGGGAGGGGTTGGTCGATCGAAGCAAGGGAGGGTGCGGTGGGGGTGGGGCGGCCAGGCAGAACCGAACTGGGCCTGATTCCGGATTGGAAAAAGGGAGGCTCCAGCCCAGACCTCGCTCTCCCGTGCCGCCCCGCGCGCGCGTCCTCTCCACTTCCTTCGAGGCGCCCAGGAGCGGGCAGGGCAACTCCGGCCTGCTCCCTCTGCGCTCCTGCCCGGGAGAGGACGGCCGGATGGGCGAGGAGGAGACCGAGGAGCCCTCCTCTCCTGCCTCACCTTGCCCTGCCACTCGCGTCCTCTCCGCCCTCTCCCCCGCCGCCGCCTCTCCGGCTCCAAGGAATCCTCGATTCCAAATCCTCCCCCGTAGAAACTTCCCCTTGCTGGAAAATAGAAGATCTCCTCACACACTCCCACACCCTTCTTGTTCCGACATGATTTCTATAGACGCACTGATAAAAAGGGAACGGAGAATGAGGGGGTGCCGGGGTGCGCGCGCGCGCGCGCGCGCGTGGAGGGGGGGCCATGCTCAAGCAGCGAAAGCAGCCTGTGCCACACATCAGCCACTGCACATGGATGAGGGGGAAACACGTACACAAGGACGAACACATCCACACGCACTCACGCGCGCGGGGAAAGGAGGCCGGGGGAGAGGAGACCCTCCTCTCCACGGCCGCGGGCGCCCGCAGAACCGACGCGCGGAGCGCCATGGGGAGGCCTCCGAAGGACCCGCAGCCAGAGGCAGGCAGGCAGGCAGGCAGGCTGCCCAGGGCCTCTCGCTCGCCCACCCGAGCCGGCTGCCGGCTCTCCCCCAGCGCCGCACCTTCCAGCGTTTCCCCCGAGTTGCAGCCACGCTCTCCCGGAGCCCGGCAGCGGCAGCGATGGCTCCAGCGCGCCGAGGAGAGGGTGGAAGGGACGGAGGCAGAGGAAGAGGCTTGGCCCCGGCCTCTCTGTGCCCGAGAAGGCGCCCCCGCTCACCCACGTACCCCCAACACGGGCGCATGCTTCGCCCCCTCCCTCCGTGCACCCTCCCCGCCCCGCCCCCCCCCCCCCCCGCCACAAGCACCCTCTCCTTTCCTCCTTTACCTGCCGCCATCTGGTTATTGTAGTGAGCCTCGCCGTTGCCGGAGAAAATGGGGATCTCCTCCGGGTACAAATTGTCAGGCAACTGGTTCATCAAAGTGTTCATGGTCCCTGGCAGCTTCTCCACGAGTTTGCCTGTCATAGCACTGGAGGGCGTCGAGATGGGAGAGGGGGGCGGCGGGTTCAAAGCGGCTCCGAGCTCCGTTCCCGAAGAGACGACATCCGAGTGGCAAATCCGTGCGAGCGCGATCATGCGAGAGAAAAGTTGCGGCGGCGGCGGCGGGGAGGGGGAGGGGAGGAGGCGGCGTGTGGACGGGGGAGGGCCGGTCGGCGGAGGAAGGTGGGTGGACCAGAGGGGCGCGCAATCCTCGGTAGATCCCTGGAGGTGTTCCCTGAAGGAGCGGGGCAGCGGGGGAGAACCGATCTGCTTTGCAGATGTGATGGCAGAAGATGGTGGGAGCCTTAAATCCCTCCCTGCCCGCCTCCCTCCCCAGCCTCTCTCCGCTCACTCCTTCTTCCCTTCCCTTCCCTTCCCTTCCCTTCCCTTCCCTTCCCTGCCTTGCCTTCGCTCGCTCGCTCCCTCGCTCGCTCGCTCGCTCGGCAAGTCCCCTGCAGCCCAAATGCTCAGCCAGGGAAATCCACCAGCCTATTTATGTGAACGACGGGAAAGCTCCGTGACGTAGCTGCCCATATATGGACAGACAAAGCCGCGCCGAAGCCAAGACGTCACAATGGAAGCTCCTCACAATGGAACGTTTAGAAAGCAGGAAGCCAGCAGAAGCCCTGGCGGCGGGGCAGCGGCAGCAGCTGCGGAAGGCAGCGAGATGCGAGGCAGGAGCGCGCCGACGGACACCTCCTCGCGGCGGGTGCGCCGGCGGTTCAGCGCTGGTCGCCGCCGCCGCGGCCACCCCGGGCGCCCGCGCCACGCACGGAGCGTCTGGCTTGCAGAGCGCGCCAGGCGGCGGACCTGCCGAGCCGAGCCGAGCCGAGCGCACGGGCTGGCGTGCAGCCTCCGCCCTCGCCGGCTTTCCTTGGGCATCCTCTGCCTCGCGCTCAGCTTTGGGAAGGAGCCGGGCGAAAGGGGAGCGGGCGCGCGGCGGGGGGAGAACGCACCTCTGCCGCAGACAGGTGTGCGCTCTTCGCCGCGGCTTTCCAAGGCGCCCATCGCTCGGCGCGCTGACCAGCAGTGGCTTTTGGCTTGCGATGCACGCACCGTAAGATGCGAACCACGGAGGTGATGCCGCCGGTGCTACTAGCCCAACGGGACAGCCGGTCACCCCCCCCCCCCCCGTCTCCTCATTGCCCTTTCCAGCTGAAGAAGAGATGGACGCAGAACGGGGGTGGGCGCGACGCCGAAGGGGCCGCTGTGCTTAAAGAAACCGCAGCCCAAAACATCTGGGGGGCATCAGGAGCCTAACCCCCTCCTCCACTCTAAAGGGTGCCAGTGCCCCAGATGGATACATCTCCAACCACAGCAAAAGCCCCTTCTTCGCATCTTGGCCTGTGCTTGCTTTCCCAGGATTGCATTAGCACACTAGATTCCCAGAGCGTCAGTCCTGATGTTTGGATGTGAATTAAAGCCCGACGTTCATTGTCAGCTCTCCAGGTTTGGAGAAAGATACACCACTGGTTCTCTGTTCGGTATTTATCACGTTTACATTCCACCTTTATTCCACTGAACTTAGCATAGGCTAAAGTCTGCCCCCCCCACCGAGTTCACAACAACTCTGTGAAGTAGACTGATTTATGGTGGATTACCTCATGATTATTACCAGTATGTTATTAGTAGAAATTAATAAGCATGCCACAATAAATTTGTTAGTTTTTATGGTGCCACAACTCCTTGCCAGTAGTATGCTTTTGCTGTTATTCATGTATAGGAATGCAGGAAGCCTACCTTTCCTCCAAGGAGCTCAGGACATCCGAAAATGCTTTCCCATGTTATTTGCATAACAACCCTGCAAGGTAGGTTAGGCTGAGAGTGACTGGCTCAAGGGTGGCCAGTGAGCTTCATGGCAAACTCAGCAGCAAATCCCACACTCCAAAAAATTCCTACTGCTGTACCACTCCAGCACTGGCAAGAACGAATCAGAATCATTAGGAAGCCAAGTTCAGGAATGTGCACTAGTCCAGATAGTCTTAGGCAAACCTACTCCTTCCACTGACAATGGACCAAATGCTTTTGAAAGAGTGCAGGGATGTCCTACCCTTTGCTCTCTCTGGGAAACCAAACAGGTTGCCAAGAAACGCCAGCTGCTGCAGATGGTACTTTAATGGGAGTTTAGTTAGGATGACAATCGGTAGCAGGAAAGGCCATGGCGGGGCCAATTTCCCTTTAGTTATTATGGGGGGGGGGACACGGTGGGTGCAGCAACGCCCCAGTCACCCTCCCCTAAAAATGTCTTCTTGAGTTCAGACACAGTGCTATAACATTTCAAATAATTTGAAGCAGGTAACACTGGCCTGTGATTTCTAGTTCTCCCCTCCCCCCCTTTTAAGTTTGGCACTTGCAAGGCGTCAGTAATTAGGTGGTTTCGTGCTAAGTGTGCCAACTGATGCTATCGTTATAAAACCCTCCGAGTTATGTAGCAAACGTATGGAAAAAATTATATGTTGCAATAGCGCTACTTACCCAACTCCTGCATGGCCAGCTCTGCAATGGGAATGAAATGCACGCTGGTAGGAAACCTGAATTTGGAGAGGAGGTGTGGGGGAGAGGGAGCGAAGCAAGCCTTCCAGACTCCTCTGTATGAAGCTGGATCACTTTCGTCCAACCAGGTGTGCGTGTGAGCCAGGAGATGGAGCAAGACGGTATCTTTAGCTCTCAGATCTTGTGCATAAAAAGGCATTTTTCAGAAAAAGGCATTTTTTAAACTGTATGTGAAATATGATGTTTACTGGCTAGTGGGGTGGACAAACGACCAGATGTGGTTTGCAGGCGTAGCCATATTTACTCGGACACAGAACCATGGAGCTAAGTCCCAAATAAGAACAGGATGCAAAAAGCTGCTCAGACTAATCACATGGATCACATGTGATTAGGGGGGTAATTTTTTAAAATTTATTTATAGCCTGCCTTTTTCCTTTTTCAAGGAACCCAAAGCTAGTAACATGGTTCCCTTCCTAGGCGGGGATTCAGTGACTGGCCTAAGGCCATCAGGAGAACTTCATGGCCAAACGGAAACCGCGGTCTCCTGAGCACTAACCCACTACAGGATACCGGCGCTACTTCTGAGTAACAGTGTATATCGAATTGCACTGTAGGCCTTGTTTGGGTGTTTGGATATGACCATATTTTCTGGAGACCAGAAGGCATCATCGACTAATTCGGGGCGGGGGCCTTACTATTCCATGTGCGCGCGCGCGCCCCCCTCACCTATCTTTAGACGAGGGAACTGTTCTAATCTGCTTTCATTGATGGTGGGGAGACACGTGACTCTTTCCTGAGCGCCCCTGTATCACTACTGATTAGCCAGTGTTGGAAAAGAAACAGAATGAATGCATTTAAAACACAGGCGCACTCGTGCAGGGGCTTCTCTTTCGAGTCAGCAATTTAATGTTGATGAAACCCATCCACAGGCACTTTGAATTCTTGCTCTCTCTCTCCAGTCACAGAAAACTGAATGGCACCACTGGTGTGGCGGCGGCGAGCGCAGCAGTGGAACTCCTGCCCGCTTCCACTCCTAGGGGAGGCCTTTCGCGCACTTCCAGCCCTGCCGCTCCAAATGCTGCCCGGATTCGGCCTTTTTGAGATTCCAAGGACACGCAGCGGAGCGTCCCCACGATGGCTGGCTGGCTGGCTGGCTGGGGAGCAGCTCTTCCAGCAAACTCCCTCGCCCGCCAAGATGGTCCAGGTAACGGCGGCTGCGGAACCTCCCACTCCGCATGGATGGGTCTCTCGCCGCCCCAGTACAAAGACAGCCGGAGAGAGGACGTGCCATCCGGGCGGCGGCGGAGTGGGCTTGCTGGGGGAGAAGGAAGAAAGTGCAACTTTGCTCGGGCAGTGCGTGCGGTCGGCCGCAATGCTATGCACGCAGACCCTACCTTCGGAGGGGGCCAGATTGGCGAGGCCGCGGCCCGTGAGCCTTCCCAGGGCAGCTGTGGCGCGAGGGAGCGTCTTGGGGCGCACCGGGACCCCCGCCAAAGAGACTGGAGCGCGGGGGAGGGTCTGCGGAACAAGAAGGGGGCTCTCCGGGCGAGGGCCGCCGCCGCCGCCGCCGCAAAGGGGGCGAAGCGAGACCAAGCCCCTTCGCAGGAGCAGGCAGGTGCCTGGACGGCGGGGGCGGGCGGCGGGGGCGGCGCATCGCGGGGGCGGCCCGCCAGGGAGCCCTGCACAGGCTGCGCCCCGCTGCAGCCGCGGGCTTGGCCGGGCCGGCAGCCGAGGGGAAGCGCCATACAAGGCCAGGATCCGGCCCCGCCCCGCGCTCCTTATTTGGCGGCGGGTTCCGGCTCCCGGGTGGCATTTCTCGTTCCCCCTCCCCGGCTCGCTGCGAGTGGAAAGAGAGAGAGAGACGGAGCGGAACCAGCGGCCTTTCAAGGCGCCGCCCGCCCGGGGGAGGGCAGAACGGGCCGGCCAGGAACCGGCAGCGAGCGGGGGGGGGGGGGGGCGCGCGCGCGCGCGCGAGAGCGAGCGCCGGAGGCTTGCGAGGCCTTGGCACTGCTGCCGCGGGCTTGGGCTTAGGAGAAGGCGTGGGCAGCACCCCCGCGTGGAAATGCTCCTGAATCCTGTCCAGCAGTCGGGATTGTGTTGCAAGCCAGGATTGGAGTCTCCTGCTCCCCCCCCCCCCCCCGCGCGCTTCTTCTGGCAAGGCTGTAGAGGGAAATTGACGTCCGCCCCACTTTCCTCCCCTGAGACTTGCAACCGCGGGCCCCCATATTTCCCCTCTCGGTTCACATTTCATGATTGCAATCTCTCGCTCGCTCGCTGCTCGTTCACGCGCGCGCACACACGAAAGATAAAATAATGGAGTGAGCCACCTCCAAAGACAAGAGAAAGCTGGCCTGCAAATGTATCCCCTTTTCAACGGGAGCTGGTGAAATAGGGGTTCCCCCACCCCTCATTTAGACCACACAAGATTGTTTTTTTCAGGTTCACTCATCCTACCAAGGCAGGTTCCAGGAGGGACAGCGCCTTGGACAGGGAGTGTCCTCCCATCTTTGTCAAATTGTTGTTTTTGTTATTACCCAAAGTCCTTCTAAGAAGGAAAGCTGGGTTCCTTTTAAATGACATGAACCTGGACATTGAAAGAAAAAGAAGCTTCTTCAAAGCTGAGAGATGGAAATTGATTTGTGTAGCTGGTACCTACCCAGAACACCTCTGAGAACTCCGAGAGGTTCTTGGTACCTCATTCACTGAAGATAGTGCACTCAACAAATGTGGGTATCAAACTCAACTTGGCAGCCTAGGGCA